AACAACTGAACATCATATTATACCACCCGAGCTACAAAAACAACAATCAACATCGTTGTTCATCAAACTGTCATATATATGTATATATCACACACGTCTGAGGCCAGAGTGTGTGCCAAACAAATCTTGGTACAATAATCTTCATAAAAAAAAACGTTTCTTGATTTGCATGTAGGCCGAAGACAGCGAGGTTGCTCAGGACAAGAGAAGTAAATTTTCTGGAACAATCCACAACCGGAACCTTCGGTTAATCAAAGCCTGACTCGTAAGGCAGCAGGACGGTGTGTGAAAACCGTAATCCATTGGTGGCCGGTGTCCTGTTCATCGGATTATACGCCATTCGGACAGGGTCAAACGTCCAAGGTGGCCAATACCCCTTAATGCCCAATCGAGCCGGTGACCACTGCCCTATTTATAAGGCTTTTCCCTTCTGGTATTCATCAATAAAGTGTGTAATAAAAAGTAAATAGATTTAATCTATTTTCTTAGGATCATCTTAAGATCATATTTTGGGGGTATTATTTCATTTTCATTGAAATGCCTATTATGTCGCATTATTACTGATGTTAACACACGAAGAACTTGGCAGCGCTCGCCGAAGTTCGCCTCACTGTATTTCGCTGTTGGCTGATGATACGAAAAAGGTAAATCAATACTACATCTTTTGTTCTTGTTCCAGCCATGATTACACCAAACACGAACGTTTTACAATCCCTGGAGTATGCTGATGTTTATCCGCCTTCGGAAGACTCTTTCTTATTTCTGGATGCATTAGAGGACGATACGCCTTTCATAAACCGGTTACCAATCACAGTGTCTCTTGAAATGGGTAGTGGGAGTGGAATACTCAGCAGCTTCTTTTACGCTATTTACCCTCGACTACGATATCACCTGTGCATCGACCTATCCAGTGCTGTATGAATTCTTACTTATTCTTCATTCATTGAAAGTATTAAGGCATGTCGCGCGACTGGAGAAGTAATTCGTTCCAATATATCGTGTCAGACAAGTGCTGTCTTCGACAGATTGCAATGTTCCTTGGCTGGACCAGTACTGCCCCGGTTGCTCTCAAACGTGGATTTAATATTATTTAATCCTCCTTATGTCCCCACAACGTCGGAAGAGCACCAAGCAGCAAATAATACTGTCGCGGCCACCTGGTCAGGTGGGTGGTATGGTCGCGAGGTTAGTGGTTCTGCTTTTCCAACCAGTAATACTGCGCGTTTGGATGCTTAATTTTCAATTTATCATGTTACATCATCAATAGTTTTTCCGCTTCCTTTTGAATTCGTGAAATGAAAACCTTCAGACAACGCACCTACTTGGTGGATGGCTATTGATACCATTTTCTTAGTGTGAGAAGCTTGAGCTACTTACGTGCTTGGATAAATAGGATGATCGTAATGATATCGTGATCACCGCCAATACAGAATTTCCGGTTCGTTCTTTGGCCATTTCGCGCCTCCATTAGCGTAGTCGTCTTGTTCCTAAATCACCTTAAGCGCTCAAAGAGCGTACAGCTCGTAAATCGGATGCTCCCACAACAGCACTCGGAGGACTCGCGATAAATGCTTTTTAGTCGCTCAAGAGGCGGAAAACTGACTTTTGTGTAGTAAATTGGCAAACCTAATACCTTGGCTGGCTGTCTGTCATTCGTTTATTTCGATTGCTTGTGGAAACCGTCTCTCATTCTTGACCTGTGAAAGACACTCCCAATTCACCCCAGAAACACGGGGCCTTTGCTTTAGATTTCGCATCCCATTTATCACTTCTGCGGTCACCTTAGCTCTCTGTCTAAATTTTCTTTTTCGATGCCTTCTTTATTGCTGTAATAGCGATGAATAAAGTTGTCGAGCACTACTCTCAATTGGCGCATTTAATCAGCCTGATCCGGATGGTTGAGGAACGGGACAACAGAATTCTTTCCATTTATTTCTGTGTAGTTAACGAAACCCGATTTGCAACTAAAATGCTATACAGTCATTAATGATCGTCAACACAGATTTTACCGTCGCAGATCCGCTGATGATGTACTTGCCTATGTATCACAAACCTGATTTTTGGTGATGCAACGATGATGAGTTGAGTCCGGTGGCTGTAGTTATTTCCAAGGCCGAGTGCAGTGCATCTGAAATAAAGGACGAACTCTACAAGGATCATCCTCAAGTGCTCCAAAGCTCTGGAAATTAATGCTCAAGGTAGCTCCCTGGACGAGGCAGCCCGCGCACAATCTGCCAACCAGACAGACAACAGAGAGCACTTACTTTAACTTGGGACGGACCACGAATTGTTTTTATCGAGCACTGACTTCTCCCACAAGAAATGACACCGCTCACCTCTTCACAGCGCTGAACTTAGATCAACCACATTGCTACCGCTGGCGAGGATCCATTGAAGACTGGTCAACATCCGTGGACTCGGACCACTCGTTTACGAGCCGGATTCTCCCTACGCCTGGTAAACAACCGCAAAAGCGCTCCCGGAAATGGATGCCCGCAATACGACGTTGCCCCTCAGCTCAATCGACCACCGAAAGACGCATTGAACACGACGTTAATCAAGGACGCTATCCAAATGTCATTCAGAACAACGGCGAACTCTAGCGCGCGATCGAAACATCAACGATGGATATCATCGACTTCGGTTCCCCCAAGGAGCCACTTCTCTAGATGCCAAATTCGATACAGAGCGCAAATCCCTTAAATGCCAGCTCATCAAGAGCCTGAAAAATGACCGCGAGAAATGGTGGATAGGAAAGTGTAGAAAGATGGAGAAAGCTGCGGCTGTCAGTAATAGGTGCAGTCTTTTCCGTTTAATTAGAAATGTGGGATCCAGGGATATAGATGAGACAATTAGAAGATCTGACAACACATTGATTCACGGTCTGCAGTGCCGTCTTTCACGATGTGCTGAACATTTCGCGGCTGAGTCCAACTGGTCATTGACGTTATTCGTGCTAACCTCTTCATCAGTTTAAGTCTGTGCAACCATTATCCATGCAATTTCGTGCACTGATTTTCGTTCTTATGCCAATTGCATCAACTGGGCAACTATTGTCAGTTGATATCACTTCATTTGAAATGGAGGTTTCCTGGAAAATACGTTATCTCAAAGGGTATGAGGCCTCCAGTTCGTATGGGTTGTTCCAATCAGATACAGACCCTCTTGTGAAAACCGCAGAGGAATTAGTTTTAATCAATATTGCCTCTAAACCCCTCATCGAATGCTTTTTGCGCGCGAAGAGTGCATGCGTGAGAATCAGGCTGTTTTTAGACCCGGTCCAGGTTATATAAAACACATTTTCATTTAGCCAAATTCTAGAACACCGACACTCCTCTCGTAGATGCCGTTTGTGTCTTCCTTGATCTGAAAGCGTCTTTCGACTCAGTCGAGCGCTCTATACTCTGGCACTACCTCTCTCTGAAGGATGTGTACGAGAGGTTTAAATTTGCGATCTCTAATAGTCGAAACCGAGTCTGAGCTGACGGCACTCGTTTTCTCCTGAATTTACCACCGAAAGTGGCGTTCGTCTTCCCTTCGATATAGAGTTAGTCATGGAAGCAGCCCTGTCTTCGTGCGAGGATAGTGGCAAGGCGTTGCTCCCAGATGACAGACTGTCTGATCTGGAGTATATAGATGACATTGTACTGCTAAGTGAAGATCCGGGTAAGTTGCAAGCTGTTTTAGATAATTTGAGTGCTGGTATAGCCGTGTTCGGTATACGATTTGCACATTCAAAGTGCGAAATGTTGCTTCAGGGCTGCGTTGGTCTCACTCCCAACCTCACTCTAACTGAAGGAGTACAAGAGCTAGTAGACCATTTTCGCTGTCTGCATAGCTGCATCTCA